ATATATATAAAAGGAGACAACGTGACGCGGTAAGAGGTATAGATAGTGAGTAATTGAACTGCAGTCACACGGTATTGTTGAAGTTAACGTTCGTTCGTTACAGTGTTGTTTTAGCGCGAGCATTGAGATGAAGTGTATCGCAGAGTTATATTCGGAAAGAATAAACCAGTTTTATTAAGTAAAGACTTGTGTCGCTTAAGTTTCGTCGGAACGAAGTTACGGAAAATCAATTAACAAACGGAGACGTAACAATACTTACACACAATCGTATTTAATATTTGTCTTAACATACCTTTGTGAACTTTTTTTTTATTGGACCTAACTGGTAATCAAATTTCTTAGCTTTGAAGGAAAGATCTGCCCACATAGTTCTCATAATATTCAGCAATTCTGTTTCTTCATCAGATACCTAGAAGAAGTTCACCATAAAAATTATGACTGCAAAATAATTAAGTACAATATTAGATTATTAAGTGTAGAATGACTCACAACTATGTTCCTAAACTAAATTAACAAAGTTCTTGTCAAGGACAAAATTAAACTGAATAAAAAAAAAAAAAGATAAAATTTGGCAGTAATTGAGTGAGCTGAATCAGTTCATTATTTGAAAGATAAATGCATCTTGTCTCTTAAAATATTAATAGAATTTTGCAAAAATAAATTATTTTGTTACCAATCTAACAAACATAATAATCACACAATGACAATTCTATTAAAGCATTCGTATTCAGAGAAATAATTTCTTCCTCTTACATGAAGTTTTACGAAAAACATTGTGAAATCATCTAATGATAGATATGGTGAGTGACTTATAATTTTGTTTAGCAAATCAAGATAAATCACAAAACATCAGCTTTTATCTGTTACACATAAATATGTTATTTTGTTCAGAAAGAATTAGAAGAGGCTTCTCTCATTCAGCTGCTCATACTAATTACATTGGTTTTGAATTTCATAGTTCAACTTCTGTCAGCTTGCCACAATCATTAAAAAAGATAAGCCTGTTTTTATAAGCTTTGAATTTTTTTGTAATATTCTATAAAATAGTTGTTATATTGGGATTCATGAAATACCACTAGTTAAAACAAGATTAGCCAACATAAAAACAAAAAGAGGTAAATATAACCAATCTTAGTCATTCATATTATGACCTTTGGATAAAGTTCATAGGCAGATTAGAAAATACAATTTTGTTCTTATCCTATGGTAAGTAAAAGTTTTATTATGTTTTTATCTTATGATACGTAAATAGAGTAAGTAATACCCAATAACATTAATTCATGCTAAGTATCACTGTATCCCAGCACACAAATGCTACTTACTGGAACATGATACATATTCAGCATACGATATTTTTCTTCTATTTCATTCAAAGATGTATCAACATCAAGAGACATGTCATGAATTTCTGCTATAGTTGAAAGCACTAGTTTTAGTTCATCCAGGGTTTTAGGCTTTTTTTCCAGTTGGATATCCAAATTCTGATAATAAATACAAATCTTCTTTTACCTTTAGCTTATTCAGGGTTATTTGTTTTCTACAGATCTCAGAGCAAAGTAAAAAAAATTCTGACTATAATACATAACAGTGCTTTTGATCATACTCACCTTCAATATTTCACTTAAACACAAAACATTTTTGTCTACATAATTCTGAATGTAAATAAAATACAAGTTCAGTTAATTCAAGCCTTAAGTTTTGTAGCTTTGAATGTAAGGTCTAATGATTCGAGAAACATTTACTGAACAAGATATACTCTATGTAGATATAAGACTGTAATACAAATTACTTAATTTATACCAGGATAGATCATAACCATCTTCCAGATTGGTCATGTAAACCTTGAAATCTGAATTACTGCTGAAACATACCAGGCTGCATTAGAATATAAAATCAGAAAAAAAAATCTAACCTCAAACTGTGTTTTAAAAGATTGCATGCTGTTACTTGCGGAGTCGTTTAAATGCTGTCCAAGCAAGAGAATCCATTCTCTAGCATGGCTTTCCACTGCCTCACCAACAGGAAACATCTGTACTCTTATACAGCCTTCATTCCTTACTTTGGGAACCACTTCAACCTACATGATAAGAAGTACAGAGTATCACGTCATAAACCAGTACTCATAGCAACAAAGGGTGTAAAAGTTAGGAGTTAGGAATCAAATTAACAACTTTGTGAGGACCAAAAGAACTATATAAAAATCTTAAAAATAAAACCCACCCAATAACAGGAAAAGTCAAAACTGGATAATATTTTAGTTTAGTTTGTTTTGAATTTTGAGCAAAGCTACTCGAGGGATATCTGCACTAGCTATTCCTAACTTAACAGTGATAAACTAGAGGAAAGGCAGCTAGTTAACATCACCAACTGCCAACTGCTGGGCTACTAATTTACCAATGAATAGTGGAATTGACCATCACACTATAATACCCAAACAGCTGAAAGGATGAGCATATTCAGTGAAGGGGATCTGAACCTGTGACCGACAGATTGCGAATCAAACACCCTAACTGCCAGGCCTAAGATAATTTTTGTACATTACAATATTAACCAGGTGAGCTAAATACAAATGAAGGTATATTATACTTTATATCTCAAACTAAAAGTGATTTTCTGGAATTATTCTCCAGTTTTGACTCTGGATTGGGGTATGCTGACAGAAAATTTGCAGGAGACATCAATATTTAGAGTTAAACCTTAAAATAAATAAGAAGTGTAGGAACAATTTAAAACAAAAAAGAAAACTTTAGTAACCATTTTTAATAAGGGATTTTTATTAACCCTTTGTTTAATTAGTAACTTTAGGGTTCAACAATGAGCCCTGTATAAAGTTGATTTGCAGAATTATATATCACTTATACATATCTACAACCCACGTTCTATGTCCAACAGTAAAAATCTTCTATAGTAGTGCTTATTTTCAAATCTCTTTTCTTCCTAAATTACAAGTGCTAGAGACAAGTGTAAGGAATAAATGAAACTACTTGTGGTTAAGAAAGAGCCAAGTTACAGTTCACTGGCTAGATAATTCAAAACAGGCTTTTAATGATCATATTTCATTAAGAGTAATATTAAAACACACTTATACTAATAAATCACACAGGATAAAAAGTATTTAAGTTGCAATACAATAAACCCAACTGATTTCTGAAGATCTACTTTCTGAAGGTGAGAGAATACAGCTAGTGAACAGCATTCATCACCAACTCTTTGGCTACTTTTGTCTAACAAAATAGAGGGATTTGACTATCACTTTTATAAACACACCCATGGCTCCAAAGTATGGGGTACATTTTTGCAGTAACAAGAGATAAACCATGAAACCTTAGATTCACAGTCCATGTAAGCCAACTATTAGCCCAAACCATGTCCTCTAAACGATATCATAAGCACCTACTCAACCAAGAGTTCTTATAATGAACCAATGTTTAAACTACTTGGATTTATGTTATCTTTTATACCACTTTTAAAGACAATAAATTAACCTAAACAAATAACAAACGTGCATATAGGTATCAGCAATAAAAATTATTTATTCATCAATTACAAAAACTAACAAAGGGAAGTTTTCATTATGGATAAAATAATTGTTCTTATTTTTTTTGGATGTTTTACCTGTTTAATTCTCTTCAAATAATACTGGAATTTATCATCAAAAGCAACAATGCTGGGCATTTTTGAGGCAAACTTCTCACACAGTGCTTGCTTATCGTAGTTCCACAAATTGCGAAACTTTCGCCATATTTCTAGGCTACCCTGCACTAAAAGTAGCAGATTCTGGGCAGTTCGCTGAAGTGTCAGACATGACTCATTGATAGAAGGGTGAAGAGATATATCCAGGAAAAAATTAAAAATGTATGGTTCATCCTGTCCTTCTATTTTCTGAGGAGAAGTTTCAAGACAAGTGCCATCCATCCAACGTATGAACAACTTTGTTCTATAGAATATAAAAGAAATTGAAATAAATTATTAAAACAAACTGCTAACTGAAGACCTAAAATAATGTATCTTGAAATCTTTCCCACATGATAATTATCTCATAACATATGTAGATTTTTACATACAAAATTTTAACCATCATGTAAGTTGCAATCACAATCTGAAAGACTGGTTTTACAACCCAATGCAAAAAATAACTTTTATAAAGTAATCATGAATTCTCCAAACTGTCTGTAAGGACAACATGGTTAGTTTCAATCATACATATAGTATTAGATATGCTTGTTTGTTGTTAAGCTCAAATGCTACACAATGGGCAATTTATGTTTTTCCAACCATAGGTATTGAAACCCAATTTATAGCATTATAAGCCATGAGACTTATCGCTGAGCCATAAGAGGCTCAATTTAAACAACGAAAAGGAACTTTTTGTTAAGGAAATATGAGGATAGCTATCTAGATTCTTACAATGGTGACATTCTCATATATATCAACATTACTTAAAAAATAGCTAGTTACCAAAGTAAATAAGTAAACAGTCCTTCCAACTACTTTCAATAATACCGAGTAGGAATGTAAAAAGTAAGTTATTTGTGGATATTAATTATTACAAAATAAACAGTTTTAATAATAACGCATATGTACAATGATTTCTGCTTGTATCTGTCATTAAGAAAAGAAACATATGTACATGAATCAAACATTACCATCACATACACAGTCTCTCTGCTGCTGGTAATAATTGATGGATTACCCCACAATGTTTCTCCCTGAGAAGTGGGGTACTTTGTCCACAAGAATAAGCCCAAATTCAATGTAATTCCTTAATGCACCAAAAGATTATGAAAAGGAGGTATACTCCTACAACCCAAGTCTCCTGATGACCTAAGTTACATATATGTCTACTATGGAACTCTAACCCACCTGTGATAAGCAAACACCACAAAAGCAGCATCACCCTTCATATAGTTTTTCTGAGAAACATGGTTCAATCCTTTACAACTGAGGAAATACATCAAGCCTTAGAAAAAGACATGCACATCAAAATTCAAGCAGTCCATTGATTCACATCAAGTAAAACAGGAGACCCTTCACTTTTTATAAAAGTTATTATCACCTTTAAGCAAACAGCAGAATTCATTCTTTCTCACAGACGCTTCCTTGACTTCTTCCACTTTAGAGCAGAAAAACCATATTGTAAACCTCGACCAACTCCACCCCAAACCAGCATACCTCTCCCGTACTTTCAATGTCAGCACCACACCAAGATACCCAAACCCCCAGGAAGGAAAAAAACAACAGTAAAAGACCAACAAAACCCAGACAATTCCTAATAATAAGAATAAACCCCAAGACAGGTCAACCCAAATATTGATTGTACAAAGAGAAAAAGTCACCCAGACCCTGCTGCAATTGGAAGACCATATTCAACAAGTAACCAACAAAAACACTCAACAATCAAGCTCTCTTCAACAAGTCCATCCTTTCCTGTCCTTCCAGCCTGAACCACCCACCGAAAAATCATCATCCAACTCACCAAATGCTATACAGATTGACACTTCGAGCGAATCTTCTCCACCGCCAAACGAACAAACTGACGAACCACACACCCAGTTCTCTTTTTCCGTCATCCCTTACTTAGTGATGAAGAAGACCCACCCCAAGACATTTCATTCCCCAGCCGAAACTCCTTCATCAGAGCAATCCGCAGTAAGCTGAACTCTATTCCACATTAACATACCTTTATGCTTTTCACACATTCCTCCTCCTCCACCAACTTGTTTCAGCAACTTCAAGTTTAATTGGACACTGGTAAGGTAGACTATTCGGCACCTAACCAGTGAAAGTGGGTTTTCTCAGGGCACTCCTATTTCCCCCCACATCTATTCTTTTGGCATTGGATTTATAGATCCCTACCACTCCAAAGTACTATAAGTCTGATATTGGCAGTTTATTAGAGTAAGACAAAAAACCAGCCATCTAAAAGGAACTACATGAAGCCCTACAATCATAAATTCAAGGTCTGCTCCTACCAACTCAAGAAGGAGAATAGCAGGTTTTCCACAGAAGACTTCAAATTTAAATTCCTGCCAGTTGTTGTTGGTGAATCAAACATTATTGGTTTGGCATATTATTTACATGAATATAATCAACTTCAAAAGAAAACTGTATGTACTGTATCTATCATTTCATACCTTAGCTTAATCTCTTCAAAATTTTCACAATATCTCTTAAATATCCCTTTGTAGGACTATCCTTACAACAGTACTCATATTAACTCATTTTCAGGAGTTTGAATTATTTTATTTTCTTCTCATTTTAATTGCTAAACTTTTTCACTAAACTTTTACATTCTTTATCAACAATGCAAAGAACAAGAACCTTATATGATGGGAAATTTTGTCAACAAGTAACAGCCAAAAGGACTCTTGTAATGGATCTTCTATAAGGTATATTCGATGAAAATGACTTATCTATTGTCATATCCTTATTTCTTTTTTTTTGTATCTAATTCTATGTTAGCCTACTTGTATACTTTGTTCAGATTAAGGTAATTCACATTCATTTTGTAAGGCTAGTTCCATCTTTAAACATATTGGGTCTTCAGTATGTTGTTTATCATCATGATAAAAACTCTATAACCTGTGCACTTTTGCAAGGTTTTTCTGACATCATGAGTTTATCATTATGAGATACTGATACACATTAGAGATTATATTGTTTAAAAATGGTGCTAGGTGTTTTGCCATAAAAACTACTGTTTACATTGAAGTGTCAAGACCTGTCTTTTACCATATTTTTATGGATGAGTTATGGACAAGATTGAAAAGTAAATTAACAAACACCAATTTATAATAATTATGAAAATTATTTCAAGTAAAGAACATACTACATGTATCAACAGAACACTGGTCTGTCTTCTGGTTGTTGTATGGTTTCCAACACTTGTGGGATGAGAAGAACACAAGATATGTAAATAAAGGAACTCAAAGAATAAAACAAATTCCCATCTTATTGAACCCTGTCTTTTATGTTTAACTACTTTCCAGAATATTTTCTCTTCTGTTTTGATTTGGGTTCTTATAGAGAAGATATTTTGTAAGCTAAAAGGTTATTACGACTAATTATTACTGCTTCTAGCCTTTAGATATTTTTAAACTTTAAATTTAATTAATGAGTGCACTTGAAAAAATGCTTCTGCATATAAATGTTTTGTTTTTTATTGCAAAATCAAAGCATAATTTATTACAAGAAATTTGTTTCAAACTAACCCTTCCACGATGTCCAGACCATACTGCATTATCAGCTTGTAGACTTCTCCTGATGTTGGATGGAGTAAAATGTCAGGTGCTGCAAGGATGGTCTTCACCTGAAAGAGCTGTTTGTTTCCTTTTAGAGCCTTGTTAAACATCTCCAAATTCTTTGTACACATCTGGAAATATCAAATCATGAGACACACATTCTATGGAAATTCCACAAGTTTCATATTTTACATATAGATTTTATTAAGTACCTTTCACTTTAGGTTTGCATTCTCTTTCTTTAGAACACTTTTGTTTGGTTTTTATACATTTCATTAAGCTAAATTATTAAGAAGTGAAGTATAAGTAAACCAAGGTAAGTTAACTGTGGTTTATTGCATATTACAGAAATAAAAAAAAAAATTACTCAAGTCAAAATAGTCTTGCTGTATTCAATCCAATACTGAAAATATCATAATCAAAGCAATTTACAAGTAGTTACTACTGTAATTTCTTTTTACAGATCCACAGTATTATTTTATGCTAGTGAACATATGCAAGTAACATTTTACTCCTGACTTCTGTTCTCCACCTATCATCTGGATATACTCAAAGCAATGTTTTACTCTTGACTTCTGTTCTCCACCTATCATCTGAATAAACTCAAAGCAATGTTTTACTCTTGACTTCTGTTCTCCACCTTTTCTGGATATACTCAAAGCAATGTTTTACTCTTGACTTCTGTTCTCCACCTTTTCTGGATATACTCAAAGCAATGTTTTACTCTTGACTTCTGTTCTCCACCTTTTCTGGATATACTCAAAGCAATGTTTTACTCTTGACTTCTGTTCTCCACCTTTTCTGGATATACTCAAGTAACATTTTACTCTCAATTTCCTTTCCCCATATTTTCTGGATAAACTCAAGTAGCATTTTATTCTTGACTTCTGCTCTTTATCTTTTCTGGACAAACTCTAGAAGTATTTTATTCTTGACTTCTATTTCCCACTGTTTCTGGATAAATGCAGGTAACATTTTACTTTTAACTTCTGTTCTTCATCTTTTCTGGATATACTTAAGTGATGTTTTTGTCTTAATATCTCCTCTCCTTATTTTCTGTATGCAGTAAAGTAACATTTTACTCTAATTTTTCTGCTCTCCAACTTTTCTAAAAATAGTCCAATAAAATTTTACTTTTGATTTTTGCTCTCCACCTTTTCTAGAAATAGTCCAGTAAAATTTTATTTTTCATTTTTGCTCTCCACCTTTTCTAGAAATAGTCCAGTAAAATTTTATTTTTCATTTTTGCTCTCCACCTTTTCTAGAAATAGTCCAGTAAAATTTTATTTTTCATTTTTGCTCTCCACCTTTTCTAGAAATAGTCCAATAAAATTTTACTTTTGATTTCTGCTTTCTCTCTTTCTTTCCTGGATATACACAAGTAATGTGTTAGATAATTAACACTTAAAACAATTGGTACTTGGTGAAACTCTATAATTACAAAATTGAGGATAATAACTACCAAGGTAGTAATACATGAAATATTTGTCTATGTTTTCCTCAGTTCTGTAGTGTTTGAGCCTTTACTTTTGATCTCCATCGTTTCAGTTTCTATGACCAATACTCCTTCCTATCAATGAACTTCTTCTGTTAATTTAGAATTCTATTTGTAAAGAAACACTGTTTTAACACAGAGATTTATCTACATTTACAGACAATCTTTCTTTCAAAGAGTGACTTGTACATGAATAGCCTAGAGAAAAGCTTATCTTTATCTTACCATTTTCTTAGCACTATAGACTACCCTTCAGTATAAAAAATTGTCCCGAATAACTACATTCTTTGGAGATGTTCCCAGTATACTTAAAAATATGTTTTAAGTATATGTGGATATCTTCAAAGAAACTTTAAGATTATTCAGAACACATTTTTATACTGAAGAATAGCCTGTGAGATTACAAAACTGGTAACATAAAGAACAGTTTCGTAAAAAGAAATAATTTGAGTTTTCTTATATATATATATTGTTTACAAAATCTTCTATTATTGCTATCAGTCAATCAGTTGGTGCATGAAAAAATACAGGCTTTTTTAGGAAGTATATTAGAGTAAAGTAAATTTTATGAAACACACAGCATGCAAACTTGTGTTTTTTTACCTCTATCAGTGCATTAAAGATATTTCTCTCCACGAAAGCATAGTACTGTCTCAACTGGGGAGCCCTACCAGTGTTCGTCTGGCATACGAGGCTCTCCATCTTGATTAATAATGGTCCCAAAGCTTTATATCTTTGCTCTAGGTACTTCAGTATTTTAAATCTTTCAGCTTCAATCTTTTCAAAAAATTCCTATAATATTAAAAAAAAAATTACTTAGTGCATGTTATACACAGATGTTGCTTCTTAAATAATTTCTGACTAAACAAAAGTGCAGAATTTTATCACACAAGGTACAATTAACTTAACCTCATACTTGATTATACTTTAAGCAGCATTCACAAAATTAAGTAGACATAACAATAACAAACAAAGAACATAGTTAAGGCACACATACACGGATCAACTGTTTTGGTGCAAGTGCCTTTATGTTAGAAGATGCATGAAAATAGTCAATTATATTTGTCATAAAACAGTAGGATTAAATTTATTGTATTTTTAAACACTATGTTCTTTATTTGGTCTCTTAGGGTTTTTCCAAGAATAAGAATGTATAATAGTATTTCAACCACACCATTTCTGCAGTACCCATTGCCAGCAAGACATTTCACTCAATACCAGAGCTCATTAGACTAGCTGGGATCATTTATGGATTATTTACACTTTTGTGCTTTAAAGAGTAAAAAGAGAACAATAAACGAAGATAGCTTTGTCTTATGTGAGTTACATTAGCAAGTCAAATTTCTACAGTGAAGTTTCCATTTGATTTTTATTGTGTACTAGATAAAGATTCCATACTGTGCCATATTATGATGTCAACTTAACAGTAATGTTATTGCAAAACTTTTTGCTAGAATAATAATCTAAATATAAAAAATTTACTATATTCTGTTATTACTTCTATAAATTAACTATCTTTGCTTATTTCATACACAAATGTAAGAGTATCTGATAACACATAAACGTAAATATTCATGTTAATCACTAGTTTCTAGACATCCTTTCTACAGTACAGATAATAGAAAAGATTAGGAAAATTATGAGTCATTATTTTTTTTTTGCTGTGAACATCCATAATAAAGATTTTTTTTGTTGAAAACATTTAAAAATAAATCAAACACTTAAAACAGGTAACTGTTTTCAATAAGCTTGGTATAATAACATGAATATTACTGAGAGAATTTGTAGCCCAAATAAGACCATATATGATTTTTTACAGCTGTATGCTTGTTTGTTTGAAGTTAAGCACAAAGCTACAACAATGGGCTATCTGTGCTCTGCCCACCACTTGTATCGAAACCAGGTCTCTAGCATTGTAAGTCCGCAGACATACCACTGTGCCAGTGGGAGGCCAGTTATATGCAATTTCTTAACATGCACTCTTAATTAAGAATTCAACTTACCTGTCGATATTAAGTGGTTGAAGAAAAACAGCTTACAGTTTTATTTTTGTTTTAAAAGTTATTAATATTAAGAAAGACCTAAGAAAAGAGTTTATATGATAACATCATATATATTGTTTAGTTGATTTTTTTTTGCTTAACATATCAATACAGTCTATTTTGCTTCTACAGTTTAGATCTTACTACAAGCAAGAATAATAACAATGACTGAAATGAATGTTAAGAAAGTTTAACTTACCTTACAATCAGGTAGGTCAGTTTCTTCATCCTTGTCTTCAAACAACAGCATATTAGCAGAAGATATCATGTGGATTCGTTGCTTTATCTCTTTCGAATTTTTCTTTATCTGGCTGACCAAGGACTCAAATTTCAAGAGAGCCTAATCAGATATCAGAAGATGCTTTTCATTTAAAAAAACCTTAAGGCCATTTTATTAGGAAAATAAATAGATCTTGATTAAAATATTCAAAAATTCATTAAACCCGATAATTTTTAAGACTGTGATTTTTCCAGTTGATTTTTAACTGCATAATTAAACATGGTTAATATTATATTACTGATAAAATACATAAATTTATATTTGAAGTGATAAACTTTAGATGCATACTGAGTTAAACCAAATAAAAGTATGATGATGGCTTGAACGGGTAATGAAGAAAACTTTATCATAAATGTACAACATTTCGACAAAATTATGTCATTATCAGGTACCAGTAGCTTACATAGACACAGGAATATATATACATTATGGAGGAACAGAGAGGTCACAAGACTGGAGATTACTTAACAGCTTAGTAAAAGCATCTTGGTACATTGGGGTGCTGGTTTAGAGTACAGCTGCTTTGTTCAATTAAGATAGCTTCCTTTAGTTTGTGTTTGTTGATGTCTGGTTCTCTTTTTAAAATTACAGTGTTTTGTATAGATATACTGTGGTTTTTTTTAGTTGCAATGGTGGTAAACATGGGAGGGATTTTTATTACGTTCGGTGAATCTGGTTTCCACTTTTCTTCCAGAAATATTGAATCTATACTCTATTCAAATCATATTTGATCTAATTAAAGATAAACTTCATTGATATATCATTTCTTTTTTTAGCAGCAGCACAGTGGCTCCTAAAATAGCTCTGAGTTATTTGTTTTGTTTTTTCAAGTACAAACTTTTAGCTCATAGTTCCATCATCTCTTGACCGACTGGAGATCTAATTACAGTTTTGGACTCAGGAGGTCAAACCCTTCTGATTGATGTATTTGACCATGTCCAAGGGCCCATAGATTAATTTACTTTAATCCCGCCTAAATGAATTTCAATTTGAAGATAGGTTGGTAGAGATCCTGATGAGTAAAAAAATTTAATTAGGTATACTCGTGCCCCACATTTGGTATTGCTGGCACACAAAAATATAGCTAATAAAAAGGATAAAGGCCCAATAGATTAATTTACTCTAATCCTGCCTAAAATAATTTCAATTGTTGTGGCTAATGAGGATTCCTTCTTGTTTACGGTTAAAACATAGTAAAACACAGCTCTGTAGACAAAACATTCATTTCCATCAACTTCAGTACTCCACCACAGCATTATAAGTGAAAAAAAAAAAAAAAAGTAAGAAAAGAGGTGATTATATTGCTAAAAAATATACTTATTTCATTGTATATAATCAGTCTATAATGATATAAAGAATTTACTACTAAACAGTAGAAAGTGTACTTTTATTCAAAAATTATTATAATACTTACATGGTGAGGTTTTATGTTGGAACGTAAAATTTGAATCATATTGTTAAAACATCAAGTTTGTGAGTCAATGAGACCAAATTCAGGTTATTTGGTGAGCTATAGAAGGGTGACATGGTTTACAATATTCATATTAGAACCCCCAAAAATGTACTTTAATAACAAGCTCAATCTGTTAACATAAAAAATCACACTTAACTGCCAAAAGAACTCACCTCTCAACCATGTAGAATGTGTTCATTTTGCAAAAAGTATAAATGCTCAATTCATGTGAAGTGCTGGTGATGCTAGCCTTATGTTACTGCTACTACTGTTGCTGTTATTAATGCCACTGCCACTGATGTTACTCTTTCTGCTCTGCTACAAGTACTATTACAACCACAACTGCTATCTCATCCTTCACACACTAGACTAACTCCTGCATCCATGTTGATGAGTATTTGTCAGTAATTTTGAGAAGACACCATCATAACAAGGACAATGATAACTGGACATGCCACAGTACAGCTTTTGAACAGACTCATGTAGTTATGCATCGTTGTGAAAGGGAACTATGAAACTCAGTAATATCATAACATTTGATACATCGCTCTAAGAAATTTTCATCAGATAATGATCTCTATTGATTCAACTCATGAAAACCACATATAAAATGGCTTTACAAAACTGAGGATCTTATTTTGCACAACATGTGGACAACTCAGATTCCAAATATCACAAGGAATTCAAATCTCAATTCTGAATTAAAAAAAAGAGAGTAGCAGAAAGCTTTGTCTCGGAATCAACCCACTAAAAAAAGTGTACCTGATTCACAGACTGGGTATTAATAAAAGTCCTTCCTTGTGTTATCATTTCAGAAAGGATTAAATAGTTTTATAAAATTGTCCATTTTCACAGGCTGTCCATGTTTCAACCTGACAATTTCAAATGTACTGAGTAATGGAAGTCATTTAACTGAGAATTACAGGAATAGACGTGTAATTATAGTTTTTAATAAGGGATCTGATCCTGACCAAGGTTATGCTGAATGTCACTAACCTGCGTACATCTGTCTATATAATCTTGAATCCCTAATGAGGTCCAGTTTAAGCGCTTATAACCAGGCTGCAGAGTAGTATTTAGTTTAGAAATCTGTTCTTCTAATAAGGTCACCTGTCAGAGAGAGAAAACTTATTCCATTCAATTTATTAAGATAAAAATGTATAATATATACTTGATGTTCTTTATCTGTCTTAGTAGTTTTCTGCTTACTTTTTAAACACCTTTAATAATGTAGAAAATGTTTTTGAAACTACTGAAAAAAAAAATTAACAGAGTAACATGCAGAAAAATGACAACATCCCCAAATTAGAGCTAAACTGTGTTATAAAATATGTCAGTTGGCAACGACAAGAAAACACCTAATTTAATCACAACAGTACAAGAAAGAATCAAACTGTTAAAACATCTTTAAGAGCAAGAGTACACAACTGATAATTCAATGGACTTTAATCATGATAGGTTCTGTTTTGTTTTTGTAAAATTATTTTTGATATTAAGTAGGTCTGATGAGACCTTCAGGTCACCTATTGAAGAAGACTGGTATACATGATTAACTTCAGCAATGTATAGTTATTCTTATGTTCTGACCTAGTTAACTTGTTTTGTATCAGAAGTTCTTCGTAAGAACTAATTAAAAGATCACTGTAAAATGAGTTCAAAACGAACACACATAACCTAAAAAGACTATCAACTTTACATTCTATGATATTAATAATAATACCGATGAAACAATACTTCATCCTTATAAAAATTACATAACATTCATCATGTATTTCATTCTGAAAAATAATTGTAAAATAAAAAATAATTGTAAGTAACAGTTATTTTTGTTATAGAAATTACCATTCATATCATGAAACTTAAAACCCAACAGTTTAGTTATACAAATAAGATTTATGGGAAATTCTTGAAAAACATTTCTTAAAATTGTGCAACAGTATCACTGAAGAATTGTATTAACATCCTATACCTCTACCTTAATAACATCATAGCCAAATTACTCATATTAAAATCATATAACAACGAAATAAAAAATTTAATGAGAAAAACAGCTTCCTTCCTCTCAATTAATTCCCCAGCTCTTCTGACCTGACTCTAAGTGTCTTCTAAAATAATATATTAATTTATAGTTACTTAAAAGCATTTACTATGACTTACAACATCTTTGAAAAGAAATAAAAGTTTCAAAGCTCTTTCTTTCTGCTAACTACACTCACCTCAGCATCTTCTAACATTGTCAAAACATTTCTGTACTTTTTCAACATAATTTCCAGGCTATTGACGCACTTGCAGTATTTTTCTTCCTGTAATGCATAATGACTACGTGCACTTGAGTTACGAAACCCAAAACAAAACAATAATGATGAAGTATGATTTATTGACGATATTTTCAAGCACTACATATCTATGTTTCACTAAGTTTTCAAATATGTAATGACAGACAATTGTTACTTTGATTAAGCCTAAGTCCTAAAGTTCTTAACTTATTAGTTTTCACTATTATTAAATAACCCATAACACTTTTTTTATGTTATCTAGAAATAACAATTCAATAATGGAATCTCAAATCTTACCAAGTTTTTTCTTATATCATGAAAATATTGTAAAATGTCATTAGTTAATTTTTTTTACCTGTAAAGCTACATTTCTGGTTAATTCAGGTATAGAAAAACCAAGTAGCTCTAGATGCTTGGCTTCATTGATGATCTCTTTCATATCTTGAGGGAAGCACACTTGATAGCTCAAAATCTTCTTCAAATCTTTGAAATAATGTAGCTGAATTCATTATACAAGTAATTTTTTCTCCAAGTATATACACAACAACTTCACTCACATGGGCTTGTGACAACACCAGTAATGACCACGTTCTTTGTCTTAAGGCAATGGTAATAAGATGAATATATATGCAATCAAAGCAAGCGTGTTTTACATAAAAATCATTTTTTTTGATGGACTACAGTTTAAGCACCTATACATTACGAACTAGTCCTAGTTGGTTTATGTAGAAGTGAAAACAGTTTAGTTCACAAATAAAGGGCACTCAAGCACTAGATTCAAGCTTTGACAAAACAAGCAAGAGGATTCTAGCATCTTCTATAACATTCTATGTTAATGAGGCTACAAGTCACATTCAAAAATGACATGATACCTTGCATGTTAGTACCACGAATATCAAGAAAAGTCTTGCAAAGGAGTAATAGGTCTATTTTTCAAGGCATATAGCTATCATAACAATGTATGTACAGAAAGGAATTGTACCTATTCACAGTGCTCATAGAGAACCTCATCTGTAAGCTGTTTTTCGAAGTTGGTCAAACAACCGAGGATCATGTCAAGCATAGTGTAAATGGTGTAACTTGTGCTGATAAAAACAGCAGATGTTAGAATGTCTGCCAAAAAATGTTACTGAACCGAGCAGCACATTAAAAATGCCTCAAATTATCATTGTTGATTGGAAGATATCCAGAATTTCTGAAACAAGTATGTGAGAAACCAAACATAGCTGGCTTTAGAATGATCTCTATATATAACTCATATGGGGCAGTCTTTCCATTTTAAACCTAAAAATGTTTTTTAGCATCATATACTAGAGGGTGCATGTTTCGTGTACAATTTACTCATCCACCTAGTTCACTGAGGAACTTAAGCTGGTTCCTAAAAGCATGTAATATTTAACCATGATTATTGGATATCATGGAAATCAAGAAAAATATCAAAAACTCTGAAATTTTATTATTTCACATAGAAGCTTTTAAACACAACCGTGTACAATAAGCTGTTTAATTGTGAAATAACAATGTAAAATCTTAATATCATAGTATAAAAAAATATGTAACCATCATGGCATGCATTTTTATGATTATTTATCTTTTCACGTGTAATAGCATATTTTAAGGTTTCCAATGTAAAATATTATATTTTGAAAGACTTTTGAAATGATTAATGCCTTAGATCTTGGTGGTTACATTAAAAGCCAAGTAAGCATTGTAGTGTAAATACATGTGACACACAATAAAAACATCATTCTTAAATTAAAGTAATATCACCTTGGTCATGAGTTCTTTGTCCTACACTTGGCTTAATGGCATCACCAGACTGCTGATGGTCAAATATGCTATCTTCCATAAATAGGTTTCTTCGCAAAAGTATCCGAAGAACAGATTCAGTATGAAGTTTCCACCTCTCAAACTTCTGCTCCTCATACTGTCTCATGCACTTGCCTAAACTCAAATATTTTGACTTTGCCTGTTCCAACAAATACAAAAACAAAACAAAAAACTGTACATTCGTTTTGATGAATTTTTGAAGTTGCTCAACATGATGAAGAAATTTCCTGGTACGTTACAAAGTAATGTATTTCTTTAACTTCATCACTTTAAGCTAAAGCAAGCCTAGGAGTGGTTTGTTTGTTTGTTTATTTTTTAATTTCGTGCAAAGTTACACGAGGGCTATCTGCGCTAGCCATCCCTAATTTAGCAGTATAAGACTAGAGGGAAGGCAGCTAGTCATCACCACCCACCGCCAACTCTTGGGCTACTCTTTTACCAATAAATAGTGGGATTAACCATCAACTTATATCACCCCCATGGCTGAAAGGGCGAGCATGTTTGGTGGGATGGGGAATCAAACCCGCAACCCTCAGATTGTGAGTCGAGCTCCCTAACTACCTGGCCATGCTGGGCTGCACCTAGGAGTGGGACATGGTGTATCAGATCTTTTAAAAATCCTTACTCCAGTACTATGTATTCACCATAACTTGTTTTTCTTTTCTACACCATAATATTTTAGTATACGATAAATAAACATTACGTATCCTATAGCTGTACAACCTTACACTGACTCAAAACACAAAATGAAGATGCACTCCAACCATAACATTTTTTGGATATATAATTATCCTCTATGTTAGAGATATTTCAACAATCCCATCAATGAGGATGATTACCATTTAAAATTTTCAAAATTATGAAGAATGTTAGTTCATAAAATGAAAGAAAATGTTTCATCTATTTTTTAAAATATTCATAGTTTGTATGCTAATCCATACAAAGATATAAGCCTCTATATCCACAAGATATTCTTTCAGGGACCCCAATTTGTTTATATGGGTTTTTTTGTCACTATAACAGAACATTCCATGTTACTTTGCACTTGCTACACTTTGGTCTGGAGTTAGAATAATTCTACTTATGATATTCCTCCTTAATCAAATCCTACTGATACTTCCAGCTGACTCACCTCTCTGCCAAGTTCTGTGTTCATCATGATTTCCTCTTTGTAAAACTTCACCATGGGCTGTTTGATAGTCTGGAATAAAGTGCGCTCCCACAGGATAGCAGCCGATACAGGAGGAGTGTTTTTATATGAAGGTGGATTACCTTTGTCCGACTCAAACACTGCTTCTACATTTAATAGCTGAAACACAGACGTATTTTTTTATGATGAGGCAGATGACAAAGTGCAAATAATTATCATGGTATTTTTTCATAAGATCAGTAATGAAATAAACATTTGGTATATACATTAGTATCTTGGCACAACTTGATAAGCATAAAAATTAAAAACAAATATACTGAGAATTAAAATAAGATCCACAAACTCTCAATTTTAGATATCCAGACTATATTTTTCAGAAGCCCGGGGAGTATAAACTTATGAGGTTATATCAAATGAGGAAAGCATAGTTGCTCCTCAATTTAAATGTTAATTTCTTAGAAAATACAATAGAAAAATGTATTTTATGTTGTGATACCTTTATTTTAAGATACACAAGAATTACACAAATAATATTTCATTTAACTTTTGGCAATTATTTTCTCATCTAATTAAAATTAAAAAGGCCTAGCTAAGTTTTCGAACCATGCCTCCTGAAGCCCACATTTGAACCAAGAGTGCCTGTTGTTCCCTGACCCCATTTCAGGCAGGAATAAAAAAACAAACAAACTTATTTGCATCTCATTATAAAATCCTGCCAAGTTAATTTAAATAAAAGCCTAACATTTTTACAAAAATGAAAAAAAGAACAACACTCTTGAGATGTTCTGTACATCTTGTTACAGGTTAGTTGAGTACAGAATATGTTGTTTTAAGTATATTGTGTGTGTGTTTATGCACATACACTGATGTTTAAGAGTTAAGAAGAAAACTGTTGTTTGATCACTAATTACTGAAAAGACAATAGAGATGAATAATAACTGTGTTACTAATTGACTGTAATTAACAAAAGTTAAATATTGTGAAAATTTACAAATAACTTTTGTGGAACTTGCAAACATCTTAATTACAAACCCTACAAAAAAAAGGCCCAGCTTTACTCTCCTTACTTCATTGTTTGTTTGCTGTCAGATTATCCAGTGGAGATTCATTTTCAGAAATGTCAAGAAAGCATCATTTGGATGACAGTCTGAGATGGAAATCAATAGGATAGATGGGTAGGTTAGGCAGAGATGACAAGAAGCCTACATGCTTTCCAGAAGCATGGTATCCAGGCTCTTCAAATAATATGAGGGGACAAGAGATATCGCCCGGAGATGTGTCCAAGTCCATCCTAGAGACACAGCACATCAAAATGGCTGTTATCTGGCTCTAACAGAGTTCCTACCAATGGCTAATTCGCACAAGAGCTATTTGCAGCTACAGGAATATCTGTATTGAGACAGACTATAGCCAAAAGACTTCATAAGAACAGTCTGTCTACCAGAATTCTAGTGATTTATGTCCTGCTAACATCCTTCCAGAGATAGACCTGTTTATCCTGATGTCACCAACACTTGCAATGGGGTGAAGAAAACTGGTGCATATTTATTTTCATGAATGAGTCAAGATCCTGGCAGGAGACTGAATCTGGACTAAAATGATCTGGAGGGAGTAGGGAATTCAATATCATCCCTCAAACACCATGGAATGGGACCATTACAGAGGTGTTGTTGTCCTGGTCTGGGCAGGCATCATGATAAGTGGCTTCACAGATCTCCATATCTTTGAAGGAAAGTCCTTTACTGGTCTGGGATACAGAGATGTGATACACCAACAGTAATTTTGTCTTTTCAGAGCTGTCGCTGTCCATAATTTTATTTTGATAGGGCTCAGCTGTTGAATAAATACCTTGAAAGTGAAGTATGGGCTTATCAACAAGATCACTGGACCTGAGTGCAAGCAAGGGGTGCTCTACAGAAATGGGTTTCCAGTCAGGAACAACTTCTAAGAACCCTCCAATAGCTTAGATGTGCCCTTGTACAAGAATGAAACTTGTATTATTCCAGATTGTTGGATAACCTCATGAGAAAACACCGTGAAGTGTGTTTTGTTGCAAGAGGTTATCACATCCCTTACTAGGTGCATTTTGCTAAATTACTTCACTGCTCATTTTATGGGATTCCTTATTTAATGGTCAAATCTAACTGCAAAGAAACCCAGTAATGTTCCTTTCTATGTGTATTCATACATTGTATAAATGCTTACCTCCACCTTGAATTTTATGACATTCCTTTATGGGATTTTCAAGAAATCTGTTCTTTTGTGTTTGTTCCTTTACTTTTGAACAGCAGTGTATATATAAATATATCGGTAAAGCCCAAAGTTAACAGGGCATTAAGTTTTAACTATGATTTATTATCAACAATTTGAAAAAATTACATCCTTACCAAAGAATGATTTCTAATACAGTAAAACTAAAATTTTTTTTATTCTATTTCATTTGTAAAGGAGTGTAATCACACACAGTGAAACTAATTATTATTTTGGGAGCAGCAAATAAAACACAAATATTGCACTTCTTATAAAACTATTATTTAAATTTCATTATAAACTGATATAAAGCATAAGTAATAATTTGCATAATTAATGTTAGTTTTCATGTAAGTCTGTTACACTTCTACAAGTTTGGTGATTTAAATTTGTATTTTTATTTAATAATGATATCTTCAGAAAATGTCTGGTACGGTACTATTTTTAACCTTAATGGTACCTTATGCAACAAATTAGCTAAACAGTCAGGTCAGAGACCTCTTAAAGTTTAAACAGAGTTACTCTTAATTTAGAAATGCTGACTCTAGGAAAAGCAGCCAGTCAACACCACTTACTACCTATGTGGGTACTCTTAACCCAATAGCACACTAAGCACTAGGCCATGCCTGACCCCAGAAAATGTCAGTGAACTCATTTCAATAACATCAAGTTTTAGAACAAACGAAAAAAAATACTAATCTAATATACATACCTCCTTAATGTACTGATTTAAAATGTCACTGAACTTATTCATCATCAGTTCATTAATAGCAGTCCGAGAATGAATATGTTTAAAGTTCTGCAACATTGAAAATGCACTCTCTGCTGATCGAAGTGAACGGAAAGATTCATTAATAAACCTAATGGCTTCTTCCTCTATTAACTGAACCTCCTTATTAAACCAATCTTTGAAAGTGTTCCAGGAAGATGTATGGCGAATCAAGAAGATATCAAAATCCACCTTATAATAAGAAATAATAATAATAATTTCAATTTTTAGTCACTTCTAGTGTACCAATAGTTAATTTAAATTTTAGGCAGCTTTGTTAACAGCTGACCTACATCTTAGTTAGCTCTATTAATGGAAGACCTTCATCTTAATTAGCTTTATTAACAGAAGACCTACATCTCAGTTAGGTTTATTAACAGAAGGCTTACATCCTTGTTAGGGTTAATATAAAATAATAAGGTAGGTAATACAATTTTCAGTTTTCCTCTGAAATTATGAAAGTTTGCTTATAATCATTACAAAAAAAAACAGATAAACGTTCAAACTTAACTAAAGTATCAGCATAAGAAAGATACAAATAATTTGTGCATAAAGTAAGTAATTACAAGGTAAAATAACATTACAATTTACACCCATGTGAAATATGTAAAGTTACACTGTCTAAAAGGAAGTCAGTATTAACTATTAATTGTATCCTTAGGAAGTAGGTATGACCATTTCCAGCCTGCAATATGTAAATAGTTAAACTAATGTCATTTGTAAGAAAGGAATTAAATCAATCTTGTCTACCACAAGTTGTAGGTGTGATAATTTCCAATCTGCCAAAAGTAAATACAGTTATCCGTTGCCATCTGTGAAGGATAGGTTCTAGAAAACCATGTATACCATTAGTAATAGAGCTAACAGCAGCAGAGGAAGCACAGAAACACCATGGTTGAACAAAGACTGAGCACATGTGAGATGCTGTCATGTGTGGCACAAGAGCATGGAATGCACAGTGCAGCACAATGTAAACCTTGTACTAGTTTTGGGGGTGAACTGCAGCTATATCATGAATATTCAAAACCATGAATGGTAAAGTAATCTCATCTGTAAAGAAGGAAGTAATTCAATCTTGTCCAACAAAGGAAGTAGATATGATCATTTCCAGTCTCCACAAAGGAAGTATCTAAAACAATCTCCTATATATATAGGAAGGAAGTAAATCGATCTCATCTAACAAAGAAAGTAGGTATGATAATTTCCAATATCCAAAGAGAAAATAGCTATAGTAATCTCACTTGTAAAGAAGTAAGTAAGTAAATCTTGTTCAACAAAGGAAGTAGATATGATCATTTCCAGTCTCCACAAAGGAAGTATTTAAAACAATGTCATGTATATATATATAGGAAGGAAGTAATCATAGCAGTCTGCTGTGAACTGGTTAACTTTCACACAACGGTATACAACTTTCAGGTATAAAGTGCACACTTGCATAACAAATTTCAAATTTACTTCAACAATTGTTTTCTCAGAAATGTTTCAGGATTGATATTTTAGCATCAAATAGCATTACTTGGTGTATTTCACAAAAATTAAATAAAAAATGTTCTAACTTTCATTTCTGCAGTGCTAAGAGGAGTCTTGTCTGTAAACAATGCATTTATTGATTTGTCAGAAAAGTTTTACACTCATAATTACTTAAATTATTCACTATATCATTCATTCACATATTAATGGTAACTTCTGACAGAAAGTATTAACTCAAAATGTTAACTAACAAAGTAAAATGTCATTCAATTGTTACATTTTACAGCTAACAAATATGACACATACATGCCTATTTTAACTGCTATCATATGAATATGGCTCAAAATTCTTACATTTTCAATTGGCTTTATCAAACCATACACTCGGTCCAGAACATTATCTATTTTCTTTGGGTCTCCAGTGACAGCTTTCAGTTCAGGTCCAAAGATGGTGTAAAATTCTTCAAGAACCTAAGAAGTAAGTGGATAATGTCCACCTATTTTTTTAAATTGAATATGATGCTCAAAATGAAATATTATTTTGAGACAATATATATAGAAAAAATGTAAAATACTTAAGCTCTTTTGTGAAAATTTAAACCTTGTCTACAAACCTAAAACTTAGTATGATACACAGTCTGTCTTTAAAGCCACTTCCTGAATTATAAGAATTATTCTCTTGTGCTCATTTAACATTTTAATTTTTAAATGCATATTTTAAAATAAATATATATATATAGATATATAAATTTTCAACAGGCATACATAACTGGTTTATTTGTACTTGCTCAGTCCTAAAATTCAGAACTTATTGCCTATTAATCTACAAACATGCGTCATGCTTCAGTGATTTGCTTACAACAAAAAGGAAATACTGGGAATGCATCAGTTGTACAATTGAACAAAGATATTAACCTCTTACAACAACTGTAAAGTTATGAATTTGAATTTTATTTGTGGTCTTGTTTCGGAATTACTACTCCAATCATAACTTAAGACATTCTGCTCTCCTTTATATAAGATTTAACTATATTATGTTCAGATGAATGCACCATGCCTTGAGGGCAAAATTGTGCCAATGAATTAAAACGTGTCATTGTTCTTTGACACATTAAAAAAAAAATAAACATTTAAAAAACCTATATAATTTAACTTTTTTTATTCGATTTAATTTACCTGCATAAAGCTATTTCAAAATTGCTTTGTTTGTTTGTTGTTAAGCACAATGCTACACAATGGGCTATTTGCACAGTACCCATCAGGGGTATTGAAACCTGATATTTAGCATCATAAGACTAGAGACTTACAGCTGAGCCACTGGGTTGCTTAAAAAATTGCAAATTCTGATTTTGGACTTATTTTCAACAAGTTCTGAATGTAAAAATTAGGCTTTGTGATTTTTTGTTTTTTTCTCAGCACGATACTTATAGCCCTTTAGGAGGGAAAATCAAAATAATTTTGAACAAAATAGTGTTAATTTGACCTAATAACTTCAAAACAAATGTAGTTTTATTACTTTTAACCAATCACTGTTTCTCAACCTCAGCTGTCATGGTGTGATGTAATTGCCTGTATCACAGCTTTAGAAAGTTTATAAGCTAACAATCTAAACATGTAATGAAAGCTCTTTCAGCTTAGTGGAAATTCACACAGACATCAGAACAAAGTTATGAAAGTTTGGTGATATCTTGCTAGTAAAAAAGATGTTTGTAAACAAATTCCACCATTATTACAGTACTGAAATAAATATTTTTCCTCAAACAAGATGAGGTAGGTTAGTTAAACCATTATTAATTTGATTGTATTAAGTTTCGTTTTGCGAATAAGGTAACCGTGTTAGGCATCATCGGCTTAAGTACCTGCTGAATTGGTAAAGAAAATAAATGAAAAGATATATATATAAATGAATATGAAATAAGTTTAAAACTTATTGTATATATACATTAAATGAAACTTTATGATAAACAATTTTTAAAAAAAGTTGGTTTCCTCATACGTTTGGTATAGTAATAAATTATCTATTTAAATATTCAAATCCTAACAAATATCACATAAAAAAATAAGGTATTTTATTTGCAGAAGCTATATTTGTCCTTAAAAAGTTCTTCTCAAGTTTCAAACTACTTCATCCAGTATGCTTTCTTTATAAATGCAAAAATTCAATGCACTTGGGTGTATAAGAGCTAAGACATCCTGTACATTTTATTTACTACGATCACGTATGCACAAAATATTGCACATGCGTTGGTCACATTGATGGGTGATTACATAAAATTCTATTTATATTGCAGATTTTTAACATACAGAAAGAGATGACTATTATGTTGAATTAAAATCATTATAGCCCAAACATATTCTTTTCTTTATTATAATGCAGTTTCATTTCGTATACTTTACATACTTGGGCCATATTGTGAAGATCTCGACAGATGACAGCCATGTAATCAGTCTTTTCAAACAGCCTTTTTCGATCAAATTCCCACCTGGCAGTTCGTCCAGACTGTTCTATCTCGGCACGTACTTTTAGGTAGTTTGACTTCCATGACTCTAACAGTAAGGCTGCTTCTTCAGTTATCTTTTTCGCCTATTTCAAAAATGCTTAACAAATTAAATACATGCATAAAAAAATGTCATATCCTAAATTGATTTAAGCAAGAACTTATGCATATTCTTTAGTAAACGCTAAATAATATGTGCACACACACATATATACACAAAAACCGAACTCGAGTTATATCTAAAACTGGGTTTTAAAAGAAAACATTTTATAAATGTAGGTAAATGCCTTAGTAAAGTAATTAAGAGCAAATTATGAATACTTTGACATCACACACTGTTGGGCTTAGAATTTCCCCTAACATCTGCAATTACAGCTGTGTTACATGTAAACAAGAAAATATTAATTAATGATACCAAATTTTATACCACATTATGAAAATCTTTCATGATTCTGTACTACTAAAATACTGCATTTTGTGCAAGATGTTTTTGAACTGAAGTTTATGTAGGAAGAGGAAATAATCTTGTCTAAATGTAGGCATTATGCCAACCCAAACTGTATACATATAATAATATTATACTGTAATGTGCAAAAACTAAACCTTACTCTCCTTTAGCCTGTATATTTCACACCTATAAATTTTATAATTTCTCTGAGTTCTAATCTTGAACTTCTTAAATCTGTTTGAGGTCATGTTCTAAATTCAGCATATGGTGTTACTTTCTGTGGTAGATCTGGTCAAGGAATGTATCTATCATGACATGGGATAGGTGTATTGTATCCTATTTTACCTTGCATATAGGAGACTCTTTTGTGATTGTCACAAGAAACAGATATCTGTACATGCATGTGTCAGTTTTCTGACTAGTCAGCTGCAAAGAAAATTCACTCTGTGAACACAGTTTTTGACAGGTTCTTTGTGATCTTCAAGAAAAGCAGACTCGAAGTCAAGAGAACCAAGAATCACTAGTGAATTCCATCTTTGATTTACTCTGTTCTTCCACTGCTCTTGTTACCAACTGTGTGTGTTTAACCAAATCTATCTACTTAGTTATCAGTGAAAGTTAGTTGTTGTTGTTTTTTATTTAAATTTTTGATATTTTGACTTTTATTTCATTCTACTTCATAATGCAATAGCCTTTTTTTACTGAGTAATCAGCATTTTCTATTTTTGCTTCATCTTCTTCAGCAAATAAAATTTATTTTTATTTAAAAAAACTCCATTATAATGCCTTCTTGTATCTTTTGGTCCACTTGTGACAAATCATCCTTCCATATATTAAAGCCCCCCAGTAGCACAGCGGTATGTCTGCGGACTTACAACGCTAGAATCCGGGTTTCGATACCCGTGGTGGGCAGAGCGCAGATAGCCCATTGTGTAGCTTTGTGCTTAATTACAAATAAACAAAAAAAATAAACCATATATTAAATCCTCAAACCTCTAACTTTTGCACAGATCAGATAACTGTGTGCTAGGTTTATCTTTGAATTATCACACTACATCAAGATGGTCCAACCTGGAACCAACGAAGGGTTATACACTAAGTAATGAAAACATCCAAGAGTCAATTTTCTTCTGTTATTCAAATATAAGTTTTATCCTTCCATAAGTAAATAAATTAATAACATAATACTAAGCTTTTGTTATTATTAAATTAAAATAAGATGATCAATGCAGACTGCCAGTTAGATAAAATTTATCACCATAATAGGCAATATCAAATTATACCTGTTGGAAACCTGGAAACTAATGGAAAAGATTATTATACAAAATTTGTACTTATGTGCTAGCACATAATTATTATAGAAGAAAAGTATGTAAACCAATGATGGCTCTCCCCAAACAGTCATTGTTAACATGTTCACATTTAGATTGCATTAAAAGGAAAACTGCTAAATATATGTTAAAAAGCTGTATAAGGAAGCCACTATACACAATTATTGGGATTAGAAAAAGAAAAATGTCAAACAAAACGAGTATCTTGAACTAGTGATATTTTAAAACTGTTGGTATTACACCAATGTATACCTTGTTTAAAATATGAAACAATCTTAAGATATATAACATCAAAAAAGTAATGACTGACGTGCTTGGTTAAAAATAGCAATGTACCATGATGGAAACAATTTGAAGTTTATCAGACAGGTGGTAGCACTGCTGATGTAGGAATGGCTTGGACTGTTCATTGAAATGGTATTTTAAATATATATATATATATATTCAGTCACAACTGAGTTTAAATTATTCAATTTTTTTGGTAGTTAACATTCTACTACACTGTGTCCCTGTGCTATTATGTTGGAATGATGCAAGTGCCATCTCTACTATCTTGTTTGCATTGTTTTTGAAGGACTGATATTAGCCATCCCTACATTTACTTCCTTTTTGAAAAGTTCTTTCTTTACTTGTGCATTTTTGTATTCATAATACTATAAAAAATACAATTAAAAGTTTGATTGTTAAAAGTAAGATACAGAATGTTTCTATATACACTAACTGAAATCATACCTTTAGGGGGTGCTCTTGAAACAAAACCCTTACATTAACCAGATCGTATACTTTGCCACACAGAGATGAGGAGATCCTTTCCATCAGAGGCACCATTCTTTCATCAGTTTTATAATGTTTAGAGAGAATCCACACCATCTTCAAGGCATTTATTAAGTTTGGAATGCCTTCATGTGCCGACACAAGGCTAACATTTCGATTTAAAATCTAAAGCATGAAACAAACATGGTATTACATTTTTTATATATATATTTGAACACAAAAACAAATTAACTTGTTATATAAAATTCAACTACAGAACTTATCAGAAAACTTAACAGATGTATCTTTTCAGACAGAATGAAAAAAATTTAAATAAAAACATTAATATATCTCAAACTTATGGGATTTGTGGTAGTACACTTTTATATTTTTAACACAAATCATGGTCTCAAATAGGTTATATTCTAAACTGGATCCCAGAGTTACTTTGTATTAGAATCTAGTGCCATGTCTAATGTTATGCTCGTTATAAATTTCTGTTATAATTTTCAGATTGTGTTATAAGTAGCTATTGGGCAGTTTTATTTTTTGGAAATAAGAAACTACTGAAAATTTGTGCAAAGAGGTACCTTTTGGACCATAAATTAGCTCAAGATAAAACTTTGGGTATATATATATATATATATGTATTTTTTACCTTTTAACTTGGAAAATTAACTGATATATTAATGCTTTAGAGAGTTTTTTTACATCAAGTATCATTTTGTCATGAGCTGAAAAACAAACAGTGTTAAAAAATATAACAGGTCTAACACTAATGTCTTGTGACAAGTATTTTTAATAAATATCATCCTCTTTTTTAAAATGAGTAAAATAGGTATTAATCAAAACAGGTTTTTTTCATTTTTATGAATGACATTTCCTTTTTTACTGTCAGTTTTAGGAATATAAATGTATATTGCAAACTTCATAACTAAACTGTAAGAATGAAAAAATTCATGATCTTATAAATAAGTTTGAAAACAAAAATAAATATATTAGTTTGTTTGTTTGAAATTAAGCACAAAGCTACACTATGGGCTATCTGTGCTCTGCCCACCACGGGTATCGAAACCCAGTTTCTAGTGTTGTAAGTCGGCAGACATACCGCTGTGCCACTGGGGGGCAATATATTAGTTATCCAATTTAGGAATTATTATCTTAATGTACATTTATAATTATCAAGTGTTTTGTTATTAATTACAGTTAAAATTTATCAAAATCTAAATATAGCTTTCATTTTACCATTGCTAGTTGTAAAGCACAAAGCTATACAATGGGCTATCTGTGCTCTGCCCACCATGGGTATCAAAACCCAGTTTCTAGTGTTGTAAGCCCATTGACTTACCACTGGGCCACCAGGGGGCTTATAGCTATGAATAAGAAATTATTCAGTATAATTACATATCAAATTCACTCATAGATTTGCTATAAAAACAATATAGAATTTTTTAATTGATATGGATATTTACTTTTTCACATCTACAATTGTATGTTCAGTTTTTAAAGCTAAACTAGACTTTGAGAACCAGGGATCTACTAAAGGAATAAATCTAATTTTGTCTATTAGATAGCACTTACTATTATACAAACATATGTAGATAAAATCTAAGAACTTTGCTCTAGAGAAGCAACAGTTATGTCAATTTAATATATATTTATTTATACATTAATCCCGTAATCAATTAATTGGCAGGTATTTGAGTTAGGAAAATTGGGGGTGCTCAAGGATTTAACATATATATATATATATTTCTTTTTTTTACAACCATGCAAAATAAATTCTAAGATATAACACCTTTAAATGATGTTCCAAAGTGGCTAGAAATTTCATATTATCCTTAGACTCCAACATGTGTCTCTCAGCTGCTTGGCTATGGAACAAAAAGCTTGGGACTACAGGACTGTCCCCATGCTGTAAGATATCCACCACTCTCTGAACTGTAGGCTGTTTGAGTTGCTCAGTGAGAGTAGTGAAACCAGAGTATTTCTCTCTCCAAAGTGCCACCTCTGCTGTAGGTCCTTGCTCTGCAGCACCCTGTAATAAAAACCACAAAATCTAATTGGTTAAATCAGTGTGTTAATAAAGAGTATTGAATATTGACAACTATAAATTCAAATCACTGGTAATGTTTAATCTTGCGAGCTACTTATTACTTTCAAGATACAATGTAGCACCAAAACTAAATCGTAACGCAAACAAATGAACGGTGAACACTGTGCTCCATAACAAAATTTAGTTATTTCAAACCCATTGCTGCTACTTTTAACTAAATGTCTATACTGACTGTCACAGTAGTAACATTCCTACAGCTACAATTGCTTGAACCTTTGACCTTTCAATCCACAATGCTGACCACTAGGACATACTCAGCTAAAGATCATGTGTCTGCTGTGATGTAAAAGTGTTAGCACCTAAAATTCAATGACATATAAGTTCCATGATACCACAGTGCCAATACTTTTCTTATTTTACCACCTCACTTACTTGAGCAATCTGGTTTCCTCAGTAAATTAAAAAAAAAGTGGTTGTATGAGCAGATATTTCTCCAAAGCTAATTCCATACATATACAAGCCTTACAAGAGATAACTGGAAACCAGCAAACATCCAGTTAATTTTCCAAGGTTTCTGATATTTCAATTTTTATTTAATCTACCTTATTTAAAATTCAATACATTAATCATATAGGTAACAAAAGAAATATAATAGCTTAATAGATTTCAGAAATGGCACAATTAGCATACTGAGTACATAACAACAATACTACAAATATCATATCTTGTAAAATATCTGTGTAAAAAAAAGGAGCATGATCTCATCCTGAAAACAATTTATTATTTATCCTAAAGGTCTGGCATGGCCAGGTAGTTAGGGCGTTCGACTCACAATCTGGATTTGAATCCCCGTCCCACCAAACATGCTCACCCTTTTAGCCATGGGGCATTATAATGTGACAGTCAATCCCACTATTCATTGGTAAAAGAGTAGCCCAAGAGTTAGCAGTGGGTGGTGTTGTCTATCTGCCTTACATCTAGTCTATACACTTCAAAATTAGGGATGACTAGTGTAGATAACTCTCGAAATACTTTGCAAAAACAAACAAACAAACGTACAGTCTTTCACAATTAAATTCCCTATTCAAGACTATCTCCACTTTGCTCGTGAAATGAAATTAGTCAAAAGCCCCCTTCGCTGTATGAGCTCGCCTGGCATGGCCATGTGGGCATTATAATGTGACAGTCAATCCAATTATTCATTGGTAAAAGAGTAGCCCAAGAGTTGGATGGTGGGTGGTGGTGACTAGCTGCTTCCCTCTAGTCTTTCATTGCTAAATTATGGATGGTTAGTGCAGATAGCCCTCGTGTAGCATTGTGCAAAATTCAAACAAAAAATACCCTAAACTTAAAAGAGTACAGTAGAACTATGAAGAAACACAGTAATAATATCAGGAAGCTCTGACCTGATTAATTAACTCCTGTAGATAAGCAGAAATTGCCTTATCCCATGACGTCATAGTATCCTCCAGGTGAGCCACAAGACCACTATCCTGTGCCAGTTCTTCAGTTGTTGTTTCAGAGGGAAGGATTGGTAACTTCAAGTGAACCTTGTGTTCTAGTTGTTGCAACACTCGCTCCATTTCCAACAAAAACTTCTTCAGAGTTCCCACAAAGTCTTCCTGATACAATTAATATGGATAACTTTAACTCACAGAAGGTTGAAGCTAATACTTCTTTAGACACTATATAATTATAAAACAGTTAAGCCGCCTACCTGAACCTTAAAGACAGCTTGATCAGCCACAACAGTCTCAGGGCTCAAACATTCTCTCCTAATGGTTAATAGAGGGTAGTACAGCTATAAAACCATAAAAAAGGTATAAATAATCAGAAGCATTATTCTTTTCAATGATAAATTGCAAAGTTTTAGACTTTATTGTTTCTACTTTAAAGTTGTTTCAAGTTACTTACACAATGGTATTGTATAAACACATTTATTTTTGCTTCAATCATTAAAAATTAACATGATAATGTCCATATTATATACTATCACGTATAATTTATAAGCCTCAAAATAAAATCTTGAAATATCTCTTCCCTAGATCAGAGGATTTGTTTACACAAAACCTAATTAAAATGGCTTTAGGCCAAAAACCTATTTCCTTAAAAAATAAAGCTTTCAAGAGTGAAAAAAGCATTTTACTCCAAATCATAAATGAGTTATATCACAAAGGTCATTAAGCATAAAGTGGTTAATATTTTTATAAAAACAACTAAGCTGATAGTCATATTTGAATTTCTTTGTGACTTGAAATCATTTTGGAGATTCATGCCAAGCCTAACTATGCAACAAAGTTTCCTACACATTTCAAGTTTTTTACTGCCTCTACTCTTGAGCTACTTTAATCAAATAGTGAAATTTGAGCATCACTTTTATAGTACACCCAGGACTCCAAAGTTGTTGTTGTTTTCTTAGTGCAAAGCTACACAATGAGCTATCTGTATTCTGTTATCTGTGGGATATCGAACCCTGGATCTTATTAGCATTGTGAGTCTGTACATTTACCACCAACCCACCGAAACCAAGAAGGACAGCCTCCAAAGTAAGGAGAGCAAGTTATGTGGAAATAGAACACAAACCATGGACCATCGGATTCACGTTGCAGCATGCTAACCACTAGGCCACTCTCAGCTAATTTGAATATTAAATAAAGTTGAAAGTTTCTAGCAAAAGTAGAAGTAACTCATTAGAAATCCTCACACCTTTAGTTTTACAAACATACCTGATACTAATAAAGTGACCAACAACTATCTCCTCAAATGCAACTAATACAGTGATGTGACTTGTATTCATCTAAATGACCCACTTTCTCACATTACAAAGTATGCAATTTATAATCAGATACAGACTGTAATGCAGCAAGTATGGTATGCTGTAAGAGTTTTTTTTAAATGGGGGAGAAGTTTTGTATTGAGTTGGGTGGCAAATGCATTCAGAAGGGGGGTACCCTGCTGAGAGCATAACCACCGGAATGCTTGAGGAGCAAGAGACTACACCGTTGGCAGAATTTTGTCAGGATGAGATAGCTGATCTGCCACAAGATTCAGAGCACCTAGGATGTGATAAGAAAGAAGATGAACCTGCTAAGATTGAACCCAGAAAAGGAAATCCAGCATTCGAAAGCAAAGCAAATGGGATCAGGTGCCCCTTTGATGATTGATGTAAGAGACAATGGTCAAATTATCATAATAGATCATGACCAGATGGCTCCATACCACCAGCAGAAAATGATCCAAAGACCAAAGAACAGATAGAAGTTCTAAAAGTTTGATGTGTAGGGAAGATTCAACCATCAACCAATAACTGGCTATCTCCTGAGAATCCAAATACACTCCCCATCCCATAAGAGAAGCATGTGTAAATAGATGCAGGTCAGGAGTGGAAGGAGGCAGAGGAATAGCCAATAAGATATTGTCCCTGTTGAGCCAGCAGACAAAGTCGACTTGTAGGGAGGAAGGGAGGAGGATGGCAGAGCTCAAGGGATCCCGAGTGAGATTCCATTGATTGTGCAGCACCCACTGAAGGCAACACGTGTGCATGACACTAAGAGATGAGGGATTCCATGGAAGCCCATGACCCCAAAAGAGAGAGAGAACCTTGCAAGCAGGAAGAGAAGGAGAACACTTGGCTTTGGAAACCAAGAGCTCCATCACCCTCAAACGAAGAGAAGGCTGGGCCCTGCTGAAAATAAAAACCAGATGAATGAGATACTGTGTGGGGGACGAGATGAGACTTCTCCAGCTTGACAAGCCATCCCACACGAGATGCTCTTCTGTGGGAGGAAATGGGTATGGTTGTTGTGAGAGGCTTGTTGAGAAGGGGTTAAAAGAACTAGTCATCGATATAATGGTGAAACCTTGGTTGTGAACATGGCAAGCTAAGGCTCTGACCACACGATAAAAGATGTATGATGCCGATGCCAGGCCGATTGGTAAAGCACAGAACTGAAATACCTGATCCCCCTGAAAAAAACGAAGATAATATCTGGATCTTGGAGAAATCAGGATATGAAGGTAGAGCATCCGAGAAGTTGACCTTGGTGATACATAGACCTGGAGTGAACAACCATCAAAGAGCAAGAAAAAAACTCCATAGTGAAGCATTGGAGGTCAATGAAGAAGTTGAGGATTAAGAGATAGATAATAGGACACAAATCCCTGTCAACTTGGGAACGACAAACAACTGGGAATAAAAACTTGGTGAAACACTTGTTCTATAGAGTCCTTGTTCAAGAGATCTTGAAATGCTGGCAAGAAAGTGGAGGAGGGAAAACGTGGGCAAGGGGATAAGGGGGAAGAGTGGAACAATGAAGAGACATTTCTTCTATTAGAACCTGAAGTACCCAAGTGTTCGTAGCAGAGGAGAGTCACAAATGAGCAAACCTGGCCAATCGTGCCCCCGCAGTGCCAGAACCCATGGGATAGCTACCAATGGAACTGGCAAAGCAAATTGCGACGATGGGCAATCTGGCAACTCACTGCAAAATCATGACTGAGAGGATGCAGAGGGGTGTGACATGGGAACAGAAGCAAGAGATGATTGGTAAAGACGAGAAACAAGGGAGGAAAGGGAGAAATGTTTATGTGCAGCTTCCACCCGAGACTCTAAAGTATCAGTAAGATCCTCAAAAACAGACTGATGCAAGAAAGAAGCCAGACGGAGATCACATTAATAGGAAGCAGGCAGACATGTGTGACAAGAGGGCATCCCTGCCAAGAAGATCCCTAAAACAAAGGAGCCATGTATGAAGGGACGACGCTGAGGAAGATAAGCGTGCCAATATAGAAAAAAGAAGGGTACGTGTATCCACTGAAAACCTCTTAGGGAAACAGTAGATAGCCTCTAGGTAGTGAGGGTGAGACAGAAACAAGAGAGCAGGGCTGGGGAAAATTGTAGTGTAGTAGCAAGTTCAGAGCCCCATGCCTAAATCAGAGACTCTAAGGTCTAAGAATCTAAAAACGGAAATTCCTACTTATGATATGCCAAACATGGGGGCTGAGGCATGCTGGCACCCAAATGTAACTGTGTAAGAAACTGTTCAGCACGGACTTGAATATCAGGTGAGGGGGGGAAGACTAAATAATCCAAGGTTGGAGCAGAATGAGGAAGGGAGGGGGGAGGAATCATAATACCCTGAGGAAAGAGGTAACATACCTGAGAATTCATGCCCAAAATGCAGACAAAAAATGAGGTAGATTGTAAAGGGTAGAACAAGAAGGCACAGCAAAGGCAGGAGGTGGAAAAATGCTGTCCAAATCTTCCTCTTCAGGAACAGATGCTCCAGGAAAAGGGAGATCTGACTGGGATTCCAGAAATGTAACTGGCAACATGATAAACTATTACTTGCAATGCATGAAGGCCAAGACCTCCTCCACCAAAAATGTGGAACTCAAAGGCACAGAAATAGTAAGTGTTGTTGGATCAGTAGTGGCAGGAGCAAAAATCGAGGACAATTGCACACTGGAATGCCAAATCAAGAAGCATGAGAGTGCTCTACAGTATAGTGGGAGTCAGCTAGTCAACTACAATAGAATCGTGTTTCACACTCCTATGGGTGAAATCAAGTGAAGGTAGGTGGGAGTATCAAGGCTAGTAGTGAGCAAAAATCTTGCAAATAGGGGGCAGCACAAGTTGAGAAAAGCTGTTATCATACTGGAACTTTTGGTTTTCTTTATTGAGCAATATTATTGGCCACAATGATGAAGATTTACTTTTTTTAGCTTCATTGGATCAGTGGCTGCTCTAAATCAACAGATCAAAACTACTGATGACTGCTTCAAAAAACTCTTGAAAAAATTGCTACTGTAGTTCAAAATGGAAATCTTTATCTTGTAAATGTAAAAGGTCTAGATGTTAAAAATGTTTGGCATACTCTTGTTGTGGTTGCAAATGTGATGAATTATCAATTTCTATATTTAATTGAGTCAGAGATTTGGGGGAAAGCAGCCAAAAGTGTATTTGCAAGTACTAATAATGCAACAAATGGTAGAAGAAAAATGACCTCAAGCAACTTACAATAAAAATATCGTGAATATCAATGATGAAGTTATACATGATGAAAATGATGATATGGATTTTATTGATAATGACATTTTGGTTTTAATTGAAGTTAGTGATGATGACAAAGAAAGGGGATATGTCATGAAAGAATGCAGAGATGTTTTCAGAACAGACAATTCTTTGATGAGAAATTTACCAAGTCAAAAAATCATGTGAAATTCAATCCTTTAATTCTATTAATAAAGTAAGTCACATAATTAACTTTAGCATTTCAGTACTAAAATATGCTCCATTATCTTACCCATTGATGTAGTCTAATTATTACCTTATTGTTGCGTCAGCGAGAATACGTGAATAGTAACACACCACCCGTTTTCTAGAACCATCCTGTTCCTTCGGGAGTGCTCTAGCATTTGCTAGATTGGGGGTGGTCTGGTATATATAAGATGGTCACGGCGTGACGTGACAATGTGTGTAGATAGTGAGTAATTGATCTGCAGTCAGAGAGTATTGTTGAAGTTGAGCACGTTCGTTGTTATAGCGTTTGTTTTAGTGCGATTGTTGAAATTAAGTGTATCGTAAAGTTATATTCAGAAAGAATAAACCAGTTTTATTTAAGAAAGGACTTGTGTCGCTAAAGTTTCGTGGGAACGAAGTTACGGAAAATCAACTAACGACTGGAGGCGTAACATTACATAGGAAAACTAACTGTAAAAGATAGCAGAGAAACCAATGAAATCATATCTAGTAACAAGTTAAAAAACTGAAAAACAATCAAAATTTCCACTGCATACTACCCAATGAATGATGTTATTAGCTCCACTGTTTGTGTAAAATCAATATCAAAACCCAATAGCCTACCTGATGTTTTAGCTTGATACGGTATCTTGTAAATGCATTCCTAATGAGGCTGTTTATATTTGCAGTGTTAGTTATTCAACATTCCTAATATATAGCTAATATTGGTTGATACATCGATCTTTATGTAGCCATATCTTCATCTATGTTTAACATTTTGCTCTAAAAGAAGCTGTGAAATTCTTATAATTATTACTTTCATTTAGTATTATTTCTGCAATCGTATTCCAAGATCAATTTTTAATGATCCTACCCCTAGTACAAAATTTGCCCCTTACAGCAGGTGTTGAATGAATTACATTAATATGAAGAAATTGTATCAGTTACATAATGAAAATATTTTAAGTATCGTATTGTCAAATATTATCTCTGTAAGAAAGCATACTAAATAGTGGAATAACACGTGAAAATTCAACTGAATTTTAAAGTTTATAATACAAACCTTGGAAATGACCTGATACATCATCAGAACTGTATGCCCATTAAGAAGGCCAATATCAAAGTACTTAGGCATCAGTTCTTTAGCTTCTTCTACAGTAGAAGGTTCAGTTACAGGGTCTGACGAGGATCGTAAAAGATACACACAGTTGTAGTTAAGTGCTTCTTCAGGTGGTAGTCCCGAACACAAGTAAAGCTGTGTCTTTTTAATCAGCTGCTTAATAAACCTCTATGAAAAATGAAGATGAAAAAAAGATTAAGGTACCTGAGGAGAAATTATGGTATGAAACCTGTACCTCAGAATAAAGTACAATAAAATAGATGTCAAACTAGTGTTTGTGTACTTATTAAACTCTACACATCAAATGATGTAGCCCAAAAATATTAAGTTATCTTCTGGCAGTATGCATTAAGTACCACAATTACACTGTAGGACATTTTAGGTGAGAAAGTTAAGCATTTGCTAGACAAAAAAAAAGGTAAATAAGCCGAGGCATAATTGTCCCTAGTATAGAACTGACAACCAGAGGGAGAACAACAAGTCAGTAGCACTAACCACCTACAAGACCACTCTTAATTAAATAGTGGGACTGATTGTCACTTTTATAATGCAGTCACAGCTGAAATGTTCAATAGCATGCTGTGGGCTAGAACCTTGGACTTTCCAATTTTTAGCCCAGCACATTAGCCACAAGGTTAATTGATAAATATGGTTATAGGGATTGTAATAAGTATAAATTGATCATATTCTTATAAATGTACTATGTATGAACATATCACATTTATCAATTTAGAAGCTGATACCAGTGTCATAAACATAATACACTTGTTATTTTTTTTAAAGAAAATCGGTGATTTTTTTAAACTTTATAGAATCTTTATGGTACTGTCTGCTTCTTGAAGAGAATTTACACTGTAAGACAATTATATAATGAATGTACTAGAATAAATATTACGAAATCTGGATTTATAAGTTCATTCACAGGTTTAGCTAGTTTCATTAACAAAAGAGTACTACTGGGCAAAAAAACTACAAATTTTATTCCTTTCTAAACTTATCACCTTAAAGTAAACTCACTGATACTCAATTGCCATTTTCAATATTATACTCATTTAATAGAAATCCTTATTGTTCTCAAGTTTGTTTCAGACAGCAAGCCATGTAATTTTATGCAGATTCATTAAAGCTATACATTTTATGTTTATACACCTATAAATATTTACATGTATCAATTACGAGTTTCTTTCTATTTCAAGAAAGTGTAATAAGGAAATTTACACTTTTTCAGTTCTTTTCTTTCCTAGAGAAATAATATATCTAATTCAAATTGTTTCACACTGATAATGTATTCTTTCCAACATTTTTTTTTTGGAAAGCAAATGTCCAGGAAAGGCCTTGGAAATCTTCTGTATGACTTCAAGTGAGGTTAATTTTGTATAGCAGTTCCAACAAACAAGTTCATTTCTAGTGACCGTTTAGGCTTAGATCTCAGCAGTGATTTGTTCAAACTTTATTTTTTTTTATGTTCACTGTCATTTACATATATATCTTGTGAAGTTCATTAGCAAACAGACAAGATTTTATGGGCCAGTTTATTCATGCACTAACACTGTATTAATGGTAAAATTAGTGTTTAGGGAAACACTAAGAATATTATTTGAAAATCATAAATTTACCTCCAAGTAACTGCTCATAAGTATATAAGATGAATTTTGTTTTTCTCGTCCAATTTTGAATTCAGCTTACTAGTCACTGGTGAAAAGACAAGATTTTACAGAGTGTATGGGCCATTTTATGGTCATTTCACTTGAAGAGAATTTTAAGCAATATAACCTGATTATTTTTCTGATTGTTGGAATATAAAAAAAATTACTAAAAAAAAAACCTTTTTAGGAGGTTCTTCCTCCTGTTCTTCAGCTTCTTTTTCTTCTGTATTTGTTTCCAATTTTAAAGATTCCTCATGAGTGTCATTATTCACAAATACCTTCTGGTTAGCTTCTGTATAAAAAAATAAATAAAATAAAGATAAAAACAGTTCTCTAGTTCCTATGCTTCCACTTTGACCACAATCTTCAAAACTTAATACATCTAGAACTTTGTATTTAGTACCTGTTAGATATCCATCCAATCTTTAGATATTTTGTCCAGAAGATCGAGATTGACAGACAGAGGGAAATCAATATGCCCCATTCTGATTAACAGTGAGGGCACAAAAACTACCAGACAGTACCATTATATACCAGTCTTACAGACTTAAAAGTGTATTCTAGAAGTTAATATATGAATAAAATAAAGCTTAATTCTTCTGTTAACTCCCAAAAAAAAACGTATTTACAAGAAAGTTTTCAAAAAAATGTAAAAAAAATGTTAGTCTCACTCACTGTTATAATTAAAAAGCAAAAAAGTCTGAAATAACATTTTTAGATATGTATAAGATTCAAAAGTTTTATACACAGGGCAACCAAAAGAAAACCAAAAGCTACTCGGAAAATAGGAGTACAAACATAAGTCTGTTAATTTAGCTAGCACAAAATCTAGCCTAACAAGGAGAAATTTATGCTTGCATTTGCCAAGGTATAACATTAACAATTTATACTCGAGTTTTTGAGTGAAAAACATTTTTTACAGATAACCAGTAACAATTACGGTGTTTATAAAAACTTTTATGGACAATTACTTTTACTTTTGCAACACTAATGAATTCATATAAAGGATTAGTTTGATTTGTTTTTTAAGTTCATATTGAACTATATGATTGAAACTGTTTGAGAATACTTTTGTAAGTAAAGCTTTTGTCATATAAAGATCTATTTGTAAAGTATTTCATAAAATACCACAAAGCAGAGACTTAGAGATGAAATTCCACATTTAAATATATAGAAAAAAATATAAGCAGCAGCTTTGATTAAGATAAATAAAAGCAATGCAATATTTAATAAAATAAGTAGAATATTTTGGAAATTAATGAATTTACCAATTAATACAACATAAAAAATTTTACTTCCGTTGAAGGACATTTTTCATTTCAGTATCGTTTTAAATACAGACACCTTAGGTTAAACAAGTCCATCTCAACAAATTTTTATATTTTTCTTCATAAACCATTTATATGGAGTTATAAAAGACCTATTAAAATATAGAATATTAATATGTAAATGTTAGAGCTAAAGTAATAGTTTGTTTTCAACATTATGCATCTTGGTTAACTGAGCTAATACTATAAAATCAGAATTTATACTAAAGACCACTTAAGAACCAACCAGTGCATAACAGATCCTTAAAATTAGTTTTAAGTGTGTACTGAATCTCTTCTTTGAAAAACTATATCACCGTATTAAACTCATAATATTTTCAATATTGAAAACACAACTCATAAGCATGACATATATGAATTCCAAAAATTATTTATAGCTGAAATTTCAAGTTTACTGAGATAAAATTTATCATAGAAATTCCAGTTTCTAAAATAAATGTCGTTGGAGAACACTTTTTAGAAAATAATGTTTAAATTTGAAAAGTTTTAACTCTTAGAATTAATAAAAATTATCTTGAACAATACTAACTGGAATAAATTACTTATTTTAAATATTCACAGGTGCAAAAGTTTCTTGTTGCAAATTTTCTTATACCTATTCATGTATGCCATGAAATATACTAAAATTATACAGACCTGATTTGAAAGCAATGAATGGAGAGGTTCGTATAAACAAGCCAAAAAAATTGATTTTTTTTATAAAACATATCAAACTTTAGTGATTGTAACAATTTAACAAGACTAATACATACTGTTCCTATTTTTATAAAAACATTTCTCAAGTAGTAGTTTTAAAAGTTCAAAAGACTTGTTTAAATAAAAGGATTTGTAATAGTTCCAAGCAACTTATATAAATCTTTAAACAGTTTAAAAATCTCAATCTCTAGTATAGAGATAATCTAAGTATGCAGTTCCTCAGACTAATGATGGTTTGTCACATGGACTTTATTAGATAAGGCCTACATTAGGTCTGAACTTATTCCATTATTATTCACACAATAATGTGTTATTTTTTCCTCTCTATATGCATTTCCAATAACTGTTATCAATAGTTTATATTTAGAATTGTTACTCTTTCTATTTGTAATTAATTATTATAACTAAGCAGAATGCTATGATAAATGAAAACTTTTTAAAAAGAAGTTCATACACTTAAATCCTACATTTTAAAGAATCATTTTTTGGTCTTGATACAGAAGATCATACTGTGAATTGGTAATTTAAATTTGGCAAATATTTATTGAATATTTTTTATCAATTTCTGCATCACTTCTCAGATTTTTATCCATCAAGTCCATCTTTATGAGAAGTATGAAGTTTAAAGGATGTAAACTTCAATGACCCAAATACACAAAGAAGAAAACAATCAATTATTCATTACTATGGGCATAAAAACGTTTCCAAAGTAGAGCTTGGTCCATACTACAGCAAAAAATATGACTCAACAGACTTAACTTACATTGCGACAATTTTGTTGTTGTTGTAACGCATTATTCCAGTGGTCTTTAAGCAACTGTTTTCTGGGTTTGTAACAGTGATTAATAAATGCACATGAACTGTTGAAATATACAAATATAGTATGATTAAAAATAAATTTCATAAAGTTTACAAGGACAGATTGGCATATACTATTTTAGATGTTGGTTTTATTTAGTGGTTTACCTTATATAACCTATAGGTCAGCAACTATTATATACAGTCTAAAATGTATCATATACTTCAGCAGTTCCCATCTGTTGGTCCATGGACCAATACTGGTCCACAGAGAATTTCAGCTGGTCCACAAAACAGTTGAAAAAAAAGGTGTGTTTTTATATATAGCTATTGAATTATATGGTTTTTACAATGTAATATAAAGGTGATTTAAAAAGTTACTATTGCATGAAGCAGTCCATGAAGTTTTAGTATCAGAACAAGCTGGTCCTCAGTTGGAGAAAGGGTAGGAACCACTGATACTTCATGTACAGACTTTCATTTCCATGTATTTGATCTTCAATTGATTTAAAAGCTTTTACAGTGCATGTGTGTATATATATACACACACACACAAAATTCAAACTTTGATAAATATTTTTGTAATTATCATAAACTGACTACAGTTTTTATCACAAAAGCTAACCTACTTCAGTCATGTTCACAATAAGAAAGCCAATTCTGTTTAATTTATAATGTTTTTTTGTTATATCACTATAAATGAAATTATGGTAGCATTGGTTTAGCATTCTGTTATTAGTAGAGTGTTGTGTAAAACTAATACTCATGTTTAATGTAACTGTTGCCTTAAACTCTTCAAGGGATTTTCCAGAATCTTCTATTTTTAGGGCTTTTTTTTAAAAAAAATCTACTACTGTTCTTTTGGAAGGGGTTCACAACAATGATCACACATTTAACTTTGAAGAAGTCTAATGTAAATTCTAATATCACATCAACAAAAACAATATTCTAGAAATGCTTGTGGTTTTTAGCTTTTATTAAAATTCATCATTTGTACTTTGTACTTAGCTTAAATTTCTCAACTAAAATCTTACCAATAATGTAGCAACGATACAGACAAGTAATCATTTCCATTTTTAAAATAACCTGTAAAATGAACTTTTTACAGTGTGATGATCAAGTTGGTCATTTTCTTTTGTGTCAGAAAAATTAACACAACTTTGGATAGAATTATCTTCCTGTTAATTGTATTTGAAATACTTTAACAAAATGAAGTGGTGTTGGTTGACTTTTTAAGATTCTTTCAAAGTAAAATAACTGTGAGAATAAAATAAAAGAATTTACTAAGTTTTTAAACAAATTTGGCTGAACATTTAACTGATATTATCCAGTACTTATGTTTAAAGTTACTCTTACCATTAGTATGATCACTGGTTTTTAGCTTTTCTGTGGTTGAAGACTCTGATGACAATGATGAATGCCTCTTTGATGATAAAGATAAATTCTCATTTTCTTTAGCTGCCTCTTCTTCATTCTTCTTTACTTCAACAAACTCATCATCAACTTCAGGAGTACCTTGACCCAAAAAATGTGTGATCAAGTGAAACAAACCCATATTTATATATTCATAATTCATTAAAAAAAAATATTATAGTGCAGACTGTTCATCATTGTTAGATATACACGACTGTTCATTTTAAGTTTAATACAGAAGTTTTATTTCCTTTATATTGTGCAAGTGTTAAAGTAAGTTATTTTTAGAAGCGATAGTTATGGCAAGTTTGCTTACATAACTGTTTACAAATCATTTGTTGTGTAGTTCAATTACTGTGAATTGATATCATGTTACTTAAACCTTCTGAATTTTTCTCATTGCTTTAAGTGAGTATTGTTACATCATAATGTCTAGTAGTTTGTAGAAAGTTCTATGCCTCAGTTGGGCAGTATATATATATATATGTATATATACATATGTGACCAAGTTAGTGAAAGTAAAAGTGAAGTTAGACTGTATGTGAGTTTAACCATAATGGGCAAACTCTAAAGTGAGTTTCACAGCTTGTATTGTAATAATAGAGACAGAGGAACATAATTTGTCTTCTCAAAAGGTGTTCTAAAGTAAGTGAACCCACCTATGTGGACTTTTATGAAAAGGAGACAATTATTTAAAGCTCTGGATACAACTGTGGTAACCCATGGGGTAAAGTAGTGAATTTATCACTGATTGTATTGTGATAACAGAGAAGAGAAGAATAATTCATCTTGTCAATTGAGTTCTAGAGTAACTGAACCAACCTGTGTGGACTTTTGACAAAAAAAAAGAGAATTATTTAAAACTCTGGATTCAACTGCGGTAATCAACTGTGTAATAAACATTTGTATATAAGTTTGACTTGTTTTAACACATTATTTTAAAACAAACAGACTGCCCATCCACACATACTTAAAAAACCTGACAATCCTAAGAGTATGAAATAATTTATCTGAAATATAAAACCAAACCTGAAATTTTAATGAACTTTATCCATCTGTTTAATGGTTATTTGAGAAACATTCTAGTTCAGATCTTCACCAACTAAAATAAAAAAACAACAAACAGAGCTCAAACAGTCACTTTGATATGTGTTTCCCAAGACTAGAAGAGTGCATAAAAAGGAACAATGAAATATTCTGTAATGTTAACTTATCAAATGATGCTATGGAAAACATTCTATTTTTACATTCCTACTAAAGTTAGCAAATGCAAAATTTCAAACTAGCTTTAGGCTAAGAAAACACTTTTCTTAGCTTTTAAATGTTGCAATGAAAGACAACCAAACTGATTAATGTACATAATACATGTTTAAACCTCAAAATATATGTTTACTGCAATCCTTCATTACGGTTATAATTACGTTTTTTTTACTGTATAGCCTATAGGTATATGTGTATAACTTGAAATGTTGAATAGTGAGATAACAAACCCAAGTTGTTAATATACTAAATTCCTGAGTCTTTCATGTGTATTTGAAGAACTAGCAGTGATAATCTTAATTAAGTACATAAATGTTTTATTTTAAAACTAAAGTGAAATAAGCAAAGATTCATTACATAATGAAAGTATATATCACACTATTTAAACTCTTTCTTATTTGCAGCAGGATTGCAAGTATTATCACCAGCAATGTCTTGTTCATTATTTAATCTCTGTAGTGCACATTGATGTACAGAAGACATTTTAATACTAGAAATAAATGATCTTATAACACAAGATTTGTTATTTTTCTTTAATAGGACACTCAAAATTTCACTTTACAGCTTCTTCAGGAGTGTTCCCCTAAAACACAAACTATAACTGACAGTAGAAAGCTTCAAATGGTTTAAGTAATAAATTCTGATTGATTAGAAGCTTTGTACTGACAGTTACGGTTTGTGTTTTAGTGGAATGCTCCTGAAGAAGCTGTAAAGTGAAACATTGAGTGTCCAATTAAAGAAAAAATAACAAATGCTGGTGTTTTAAGATAATTTAGTTCTAATATTAAAATGTCTTTTTCACATTTAGAGCCAGTTTTGTATCAGTGCAACATCAATGTACCTTAAAAAAATACAAAAACCAGTATCTTATGTGTGCTTATCTTTGATGCTAGCATTACATTCACTGACATGATTGTGTTTTTAATTGCTAGTTTTTATTCATCACTGTAGAAAAATCATGACATAGAAATATGTGACTGTATATACACTGGGGCCTTGAGTAAAACAGGTATTGGTATGACACCTTGTTCTCCAGACATCCGAAAAGTTTGGAGTTAGTGCTCCAAAGATCTTGGACATTTTATTGCCCTGCTTTATAGTAGCAGTATGTTTGCTTGTGTGTATTAAATACAGAATATATATTTATTATAATACAAAGATCAAAATTTAATGTATTGATCTATATGAAGATTGGGAAGTATATTAAATTGTATATTGCCATAATATCCTTTAGAATTTATCAAGCAACTTTAATAAATAGAACCCATCATCTTATTTAGTATTTTCAATAAAACCAAACAGTCATTATAAAAGGCTTTGAACTCTTATTGACAATCATATTTTATTTTTAATAACTTTGACATATTTTTTGCACAACAAATCTCTTGCAAATTTCTATACCTACTGTTTGACTCAAAGGTGGACACCCCTCACCCATTTGTGTTGAAAGAATAAATGCTGTCCATTCTAAATTTGTGAGTAAACACCATTTTTCTTAATGCTTTATTATTCATAACTTGAAAAAGATTTGGGATGAGTTTTAGTGGTTTAATATGTACAAGATGATTAATAGTCTCTCCATGTTTGGTCTTATTAAGAGCAATTTGCACACTGGAAAGATTCTCAATAGGATTGAATTTAGTAACATTAGAAACTGGTATCCTACAATTGAAGTTAAACAACAGAAATTATCTTCCTCAAAATATTTAATAAGGGAACAAGATCATAATGAATAGAGTAAAAAAAAAGCAAAGTTATTGCATTTCAGGCATTTATGTTATAAATTATCATTTGAATTCTGTTTTATCTTTGTTTTGGGTAACCCTATACAGGTTACTCGTTATTTTCTATTGGAGCCTATTATAATATCAATACTGCATATACATGACCTTACATAAACATTAAAGCATATTTATTTCTTGATCTAAGGGTAATCAGTTTTGGTTATGAAACATATAGCATAAAATTTATATTAGTAGGGTGGTGCAGT